GGTTTTAGTCATATATATAAAATGCTAATTCAGTTTTTTAATATTAAAAACAAAAAACAACTAGAGAAGGTACAAAAAAACTTGGTTATTCAGATATTTTGTATTGCATTTAATATATATCTACATATTAAAATTCTCTATATTATTTTTGAAATTATTAATTTGGTTGAGATTGGTGAAGCCTTTCATTTTGGCTTGGTAGTCGTGATAATCATTGCTTAATTCGCTGGTCTTGACTCCCCTCTCGGTCAGTTTATCAGCGATTTCCGTAATAGCCGCGGCGCGGTCCGGTTGAATTGGGTCATCTTTTTGATTGTTTTCTCCTTGGGGACCAGAATTTTTTAATTGCTCTTGCCTATCTAATAGTTTATTAATCAAGTCCTCTCCACCTTGTTTAGCAAACTCCTCTTTTTCTCACTGGTTATTGCTGAACCATAAATTATTTAATTCGGCGGTGGCTTTTTCGACTACTCCTAAATCACTACTGGTTAATGCCGCATTAGCGGATTTTATAATTGTTTTTACTTTATTTTCAGCGGCTAGTTGGGCGTCATTATTGTTTGTCTGGTCGCTATTATTGTTAGTTTCGTTAGTTTGGTTATTATTGTTTTGGTTAGCAGTATTTTCCTCGGCTTGGACTGTTCCGACTTTTATTTCACGTAATTTTTTCAAAACGGTTCTTACTTCGTTTCCTCTTCCCCCAAACTGCTCGTTCTGGTCGATATACGCTTGAACTGTTTCCCCAAAAACATTTTTTCCATACGTAGCCAGGTTATATTCCGCAAAATTGCTTGCCCCGTACCACTGCTTTTTTCCTCTTGGAGAATTAGGATTATAACTAATAGTAAAAGGCTCCAATAATTCAATCAATAAATCGGCTTTTTCTTGGGTGGCCGTTTGGCTCAAAGCAACTAGCCTATTAAATACAGCGAGCAAACTTTTAATGGTTAGCGAATTATCTCGGCCTTTTTGAAAATCTGCTTCGGCTTGTTGGGCTTTGTCGTCCTTGGTGTGGGCTTGGATAAATGGACTTAATTCAGCAAAAAAGTCTCTTATCTCCTCGGTTTCCATTTGCCCTATTCGGTTTTGATATTGGGCTATTTTTTGTTCTAACTCGTTAGCCATGATATTTTTTTGCCTCTTTTTCCATAAACTCTCAAAACTAGACAGAACCTTTTTTTAATAAATTTATTTCCATCCGCAGATTCCCCTACGGATACCTTGTTCAGGTTTACCCCTTAGTTTCCCAAGGGTCTGGACTATATCTTCACCCATAAACTATGGGGCCAGCGTGTAGTCTCTACGGGGTCAATTACGACTTCCCTCGGTATTACCATATTATTTTTTTTAACTTAGGCTTCACCGATACAGCCAGATTTTTCTCGAAAATTGCTTTTCTAGGTCGCAACAAATTTACCACTTAACCCCAATTGCCAATCCTACC